GCATGCGCGCTGCGAGCTGCTGCTGCTGTTATTATTATTAATAATAATAATAATAATAATATATATATATATTTGTGTATCTTTTTTTCTTTTTTATATTATTATTATTATTATTGCAGTGTTATATATAATATTAATAAATATAATTATTATTATCTTCTCCTTATACATATATATATATCTATATATATACACGTAAGGTATATACATATAAATATCCATATAAATCGGTTTTTTTTTGCATATTTTTTTTCTACATAATAAAAAAAAGAATAAGAATAATAAGAATAAGAATAAGAATAAGAATAATAATAATAAGATGGCAGGATTATCATTACAATATCCATATTCTCCTTGTCCTTATAAGCGTGTATCTGCAATACAATTTGGTGTATTAAGTCCTGAGCAGATAGAACGTATGTCTGTATGTGAGATAACAAGCGCAGAATTATATGAGGAAGGAATACCTAAAAAGAACGGACTAAATGATCTAAGATTAGGTACATTAGATAATAAATATAATTGTATAACATGTTTAATGGATATAAAGAATTGTCCTGGACATTTTGGTCATATTAAGCTATATAAACCTGTATATCATTACGGATTTATTAATACATTAATTAAAATATTGAGGTGTATATGCAGCTCTTGTGGTAAATTATTAATCTCTTATAAGGATCCAAGATTTATTCATGCATGCACTATTAAATCCCCTAATAAAAGACTAAAAAAAATAGTAGATCTATGTGCAGGAAAGAGGAGGTGTGATGCAGATGATGATGATGAGGAAGAAGAGGAGGAAGAAGAAGGAGGAGGAAGGAAAGGAGGAGGAGGAGGAGGAGGAGGAGGAGGGTGTGGTTGTATACAACCACGTTATTATAAGGAAGGACCTAATTTAATGGTATCTTTTCCTGATAATAATAAACATAATAATAATAATAATAATAATATAGCTGTAGATACACCAGAAGAAGAAGGAATAGAGGATATAAAAAGAGTATTAATACCTGAGGAAGCATTATGTATAATAAAGAAAATAAAAGAAAGAGATATAAGACTATTAGGATTTGATCCTAATAGATCTAATCCTTCTTCTTTTATTATTAATATATTACCTATTCCTCCTCCTTGTGTTCGTCCTTCTGTACAAAATAATAATAATACAAGAAATGAGGATGATCTTACCCTTAAATTAATTGATATTATTAAGACTAATAATATATTAAAAAGACAGGCAGGAGCAACAGGAGCAACAGGAGGAGGTAGTAGTACTAGTAGTAGTAGTAGTACAGGAGGAGGAGGAGGAGCAGGAGGAGGAGATAATAATTATTCATCTATTCCTTCATCTATTATACAAGAAATGAATCTCTTGCTACAGTATCATGTTACTACTTTATTTGATAATGATATACCTGGTGTACCTGTTGCTACTACTAGATCTAAAAAACCTATTAAGGTATTTATTTATTTATTTATTTATTTATTTATCTTGTTTTTTTTTTCCTCTTTTTTTTTCATGTATTGGTGGGGTTGCTAGTAGGGTTGGTAGTGGTGGTGGGGGGGAGAGGGAGGGAGGAGGAGGAGGGATAATTGTTTGGATGCTGCTGATGATGCTTGTGTTGCTGCTGATGCTGCTGCTGTTGCTGCTGCTGTGTCTTGTTGTGTTGCTGTTGCTACTGCTGTGTCTTGTTGTGTTGCTGTTGCTGATGGTGCAACTTGTGCTGCTGTTGTTGTTGCATTGCCCTTGTATCTTCTATATGATGATGATATTTGCTGTTGCTGCTGTTGCTGCTGTTGCTGCTGTTGCTGCTGTTGCTGTTGCTGCTGCAGGCTTTGCGGTCACGATTAAAGGGTAAAGAAGGAAGATTAAGGGGAAACTTAATGGGAAAAAGAGTTGATTTCTCTGCTCGTACTGTTATTACAGGTATATATATATAAATATAAATATAAATATAAATATAAATATAAATATAAATATAAGTATATATTTATATATGTGCATATTTATATGCATGCATATGTATATATATATCCATACATGCATCATCTAGCAGCAACCTGCATGCATGCATGCATGCAAATACATGAATATATGCATAAATTGATGTATATAAACCATATATCTTTTATTTTATTTTATTTTATTTATTAATTTATTAATTTATTTTGTTTTTTCTTTGTTAGGTGATCCTAATTTACCAATAGATGTAGTAGGTGTACCTAAGAGTATAGCAATGACTCTTACGTATCCTGAGTTTGTTACTCATCTTAATATAAATAAATTAAAAGAACTTGTTAAAAAAGGACCACTTGAATGGCCAGGAGCTAAATATGTTATAAGAGAAGATGGGACTAGGTAATACATAAATTAGGGTTTAGGGTTTAGGGTTTAGGGTTTAGGGTTTGTAGGGTTAGTTGTATTTTTTTTAGTATTTATAATTATATGGACAATAAACCATAATATTGTTTGTTTTTTTTTACTCTTTTATATAATATAATTGATTATTTGTTTTTTTTTATTTATTCCTCTCTTTGTTTATAGGTTTGATTTACGTCATGCAAAAAAAGGAGGAGAAGTTGCATTAGAGGTTGGGTATCGTGTAGAGCGTCATATGCAGGATGGTGATTATGTATTATTTAATCGTCAACCTTCCTTGCATAAAATGTCTATAATGGGTCATAGAGTAAGAGTATTACCTTACTCAACATTTAGATTAAATTTATCCGTTACTTCTCCTTATAATGCAGACTTTGATGGTGATGAGATGAATCTACATCTTGCACAAAGTGAGGAAACAAGAGCAGAAATTAAACATCTTATGTTAGTACCTAAACAGATTGTTTCTCCTCAAGGAAATAAACCTGTCATGGGTATTGTACAAGTAAGTTATTATTTATAATTTATTATTCTTCTTTTATTGCTCATTTTTGTTGCTCTTTCTGTTCCTGTTTTTTTTGCTGTTTCTTTTGATGTTTCTGGTGGATATTATTATAAAAGTAAGTAAATAATATATATAAATAAATAATATTATGTGTATTTTATGTATTTATGTATAGGATTCTTTATTAGCAGTAAGTAAATTTACTCGTCGTGATACATTCTTACGCCGTCCTATGGTGTATGATCTACTATTACAAATACCTTATTGGGATGGTAAGGTTCCTTCCCCTGCAATATTATATCCTGAGCCTTTATGGACAGGAAAACAGTTATTTTCTTTATTATTATGTTTTAATACAAGTATAACAGAAATAGGTACAGGAGGAGGTATAATAACACCTACAGGAGTAGTAGGAGGAGTAGGAGGAGGAGGAGGAGGAGGAGGAGGAGGAGGAGGAGGAGGGGGTACAGGAGGAGGAAATAATACTAGATTACGTATAAATATGATTCGTGATATAGGTGGTATAATATTAGATCGTAAAAAAGAAAACTTATTTATATCTGAGAGGGATGATCGTGTAATTATTAGACAAGGAGAACTATTAGCAGGAAAAATATGCAAAAAAACTGTTGGTTCCTCTAGTGGATCTCTTATTCATCTTTTATGGAACGAAACTGGACCAGAAAAGACAAAAGACTTTCTTGGTGCCCTACAAAGATTAGTAAATTATTGGTTATTACATCAAGGATTTACAGTAGGATGTAGTGATATAATTACATCACAAGAAACCAATAAAAAAGTACAAGATATACTAAAAGAAGCTAAAGAAGAAGTTAATCATCTTATTCATCTTGCTCATCAAGGAAGACTAGAGGCACAACCAGGAAAAAGTCTTAGAGAAAGCTTCGAGGCAAGAGTTAATAAAGAATTAAATGCAGCAAGAGAGAAATCAGGAAAAGTTGCTTCGGAGCAATTAGATGAATCTAATAATATTATGGCTATGGTAAACATATTTATTTTATTTATTTTATTCATTTATTTTTTCCTTTTTCTTCTTATCTACTTATTTTATTCTTATATTCATTCTTTGGTGATTCTGTACGTGTGTTATATAGTGTTGAGGATATATTGTTCTTCTTTTCTTTGTTTTCTTTGTTTCTTTATTAAATTATATTATTATTTAATGTTCTTTTCTCCTTTCTTTTATGTCTTGTTTTCTTGTTTATCTTTTTATTGTTGTATGTATTGTTACACCGTCCTCGTACCTCTCGTCATTTCTTTTAGCAAATTTATATTATATTATAATAAATAATACATCATTGTTTCCCTTTTTCTTTAATGAATAAAATAATATGAATAAATATAAATAAATATATATATATATATTTCTGTTTATTTATTCAGGTGTTAGCTGGTTCAAAAGGAAGTATCATTAATATATCACAAATAATGGCTTGTGTAGGTCAACAGAATGTAGAGGGAAAAAGGATTCCTTTTGGATTTAATAATCGTTCTTTACCTCATTTTAGTAAATTTGATTACTCACCAGAAAGTAGAGGATTTGTTGAGCATAGTTACCTAACAGGTCTTCTTCCTCAGGAGTTATTCTTTCATGCAATGGGAGGAAGAGAGGGTATTATAGATACTGCATGCAAAACATCAGAAACTGGGTACGTATTCTTATTTATTTATTTATTTTATTTATTTTATATATTTATTCTTTATTTTTATTTAAATCTATTTATTTTTATTCGTTGTGTTTGTTGTAGTTGTTGCTCGTTGTTGGTCATTTGTGTCTTCTCTGTTTGTTTCTTTGTTTGTTGCATCTTATTATTTTGTTGTTATTTCTTTCTTTTTATTGTATTTCTATTTATTAATATATTTAAATGTATATTAATGTTGATATAAATAATGTATATCCTTCCCTTTTCTTCCTGTTCTTCCTCTTCTTCCTCTTCCTCGTCCTCTTCTTCTTCCTCCATTCCCTCGTTATGTGAGTTATGTATGTGTTTCTTGATCATCTGTTTGTCCTTTTTCTTGGTTTTTTTTGCGTAAATATTCTTATATTTCGTTAATTAAATAGAATATACCCTTTTTATGATTATTAATATATATTTATAGGTATATTCAGCGCCGGTTAATGAAGGCAATGGAGGACGTAAAAGTAAGCTATGATA